CCCCTCAGAGCCCCATCAGAACCACATCGGAACCACATCGGAACCCCATCAGAACCACATTGGAACCACATCAGAACCTCAGAACCCCATCAGAACCCCATCGGAACCCCATCAGAACCCCATCGGAACCCCATCAGAACCTCAGAACCCCATCGGAACCCCATCAGAACCCCATCGGAACCCCATCGGAACCCCATCAGAACCCCATCAGAACCACATCAGAACCACATCAGAACCAGACCCCATCGATCCTCAGAGTGTTCCAGAAACCAGCAGTGTTTTCGTTCCTCTGCAGGTTCTTCAGCTGCAGCTAATTAGGATTTAAACGCACCAACCCTGCAGTCTGGTCTCCTCTGCTTTCAGCGCATGTCAAGTTTGACCTCTGACCTGTCTTCTGTCCTGCAGCCCTGCCTCTGCTGTCAGGCTCTCCGTCCCTCCAGAACAGAGACCAGAACCCAGAGAAAGACCTGCTGACCCCGGACGACTCGGCCGTGTCAGATCTGTCCCCTAAAACAGACTCCAGGACGGAGACGCCGTCCAGGACGGAGACCTCCCTGAAGATGGACGGCAGACCTCTGACCCCGGCTTCCAGCAGCTGCAGCCCACAACCCAAGAAAGGTATGGTGAGGGGGCACGCACACAAACACACACACACACACACACACACACACACACACACATGCGTGAGCCTCAGTTTACATAAACACATTAGTTCTGCTCTCATCCACATTTCTATATCTTGTGAAAATGACTTCCTTTTGTTTCCTTTTTAATTCCATTAAATTTTGACTTTATCTCCTCATTTAACTTGTTCCATAATTTTACGCCATGAACTGAAATACAAAACCTGGTTCTTGTTATTTAAATCATTAATTGACCACTTGCTTCCATCATCACAATATTTGTTGGTATTTCTTATAAAAACAATAACAGTGATGATCAAACTCTTTCAGGCTACAGACTCTGAACCTGCTGCCTCATCCGTGTTACCATGGAAACAACATCTTTATCTGCTGTTAGAGTCAGGAGATGTTTTCATACTGAGACCTGCTTTGCACAGCGGCTACCGGGTCAAACCAGGGTTCATAATGAGCCAAAATAAAAACTTGAACTGGACCACTAAATATTAGTTTTAATTTTTTTAAATTTTTTGATGGTTTCTGACATTTATTGGATGTTTTTCTGACATTTTCAGGGCGTTTAGCTGCAGATAGCAGTGGCGTGTCAGAAGAAGGTTAAGCCACTTTAATGAGCAGAACCGTCTGATCCGCTCTCAGCTGCTGCAGCACTCAGATGGGTTTCCTGCTGTAGGCGGACTGGGACCAGTCTGGTCCTCCCAGTACCTGCTGGTCTGTCAGCCGGTCGTTCTCCTGGTTCCTGAGCGACTCGTTCTTCACGGCTGGATGTGGAGACGAGGAGGCGATCTGTGTGGGACGCTCTCTGCAAGGTGGAGGGAGGGAGGGAGGGATGCAGGTTGCCATGGAGACAGAGCAGAGAAGTGCTGCAGGGAGCTCTGATTGGTCGATAATGTTAGCACACATGTACAGGATGCACAGAAGAGAAGACAGACCCAGGTCTCTACCTCCACAGATCTGCAGAGTGGGTTCTGGTTCTGGTTCTGAACAAAAGCATTTATTTATCCCAGAGGGAAATGAAATGCTGTCGTCTGGATGGTGATGCTGTTGGCAGGAAGGCTCTCCACTAGCAGTCAGTGTTGCAGTGTATGTGAAGAGGCCTCTGACTGAGGACTGTTGCTGCCTCACATGCTAGCAGCTCAGCATCCAGGCAGCAAAGACGATATTCCACAGTAACTTCCTGGATGAGTGGATCTGCTGATCCACCTCATTTGCTTTTGTTGCTGCTGTTTAAATCTGTCTGCTTAGAAGAATGTTGGAGTAGGAGACATTTTGTTCCTCTGAACGATGTAATACTGCAGCTGGGTGTTTGTTTGGACTGGAAGCTCATCCAGTTTGTTTTCCAAAGATCTGCTGCTCATCATGATGGATGGAAGAGAATCCTCCTGGTCATCTCTGGGATTTGGGGTCATAGGTCAGGTGTTATTGGAGTTTTTGAGATGATAATCAGCTGAAAACACCTTGTTGCCATGGCTACGTATCAGGGCAGTTCATCCAGACCCAGAGGGAATAATTATCTAAACCAGGGGTGTCCAAAGTGGGTCCTGGAGGCCCGGCATCCTGCACGTTTTAGTTCTGTTCCTGGTGGTAACAATGTTCCTCTTAGGCCTTTTAACGAGCCGTGATTTGATCCAGGTGCGTTAAACCAGGGAGAGAACGAAAACATGCAGGATGCCGGGCCTCCAGGACCCACTTTGGGCACCACTGATCTAAACGATTCAACCAGAGAATGATGAACGTCTGGAGACAGAACCAGCCTGCTGCCACCAGGCGGCGCTGTTCTGGATCATTTCAGCTCCAGATGGAGGCTGTTTTCCTTCCCCTGCTCAGTTCTAAGATTTTTAATTCGTCTTTTTATTGTTTTCCTTTCAGACTCCATGAACTCAGAGCAGCGGCAGAAACTGGCCAAGGAGCGCAGAGAGGAGCGCGCTCGCTACATCGGTAAGAACCGCCCCACCGCAGTAACCATGGTAACCACAGTAACCCCAACTCTCTGGTGCATGAAGCTGGGTTCAGTCAGGAACTTACTGCAGTTTCTAACGTTTGTCATCGTTTCCCTGCTGTCAGAGCAACAGACCCAGCTGCAAGGTAAGCTGCTACGCTAGCATCCAACCGTCCATCCATCCAACCGTCCATCCATCCAACCGTCCATCCATCCAACCGTCCATCCATCCAACCGTCCATCCCTCCACTCCCTCTGCTTCCCTCGTTTCTGTTTACAGTTCACTAAGTCTGACTCCAGCAGCAGCCAATCAGATCACGGTAAACTGAGGCCTTCAGCCAGACCAGATTGATTATTGATTGGTTAGCAGCTGCTCTGGGGTCCGCCCCCTGACCTGATTGGCTGCTCTGGGGTCCGCCCCCTGACCTGATTGGCTGCTCTGGGGTCCGCCCCCTGACCTGATTGGCTTTCGTTCAGTCTGCATGTGGAATGGTCTCACCTGGCCTCTGTGACGGTTTCATGTTGAATATTTCAAAATGAGGCAGTGAAGGCCTGACATCACTGGAACAGCAGATTAGTAATCAATTAATCACAATTAGTCAATTATTGAAATAATCATCAACTCATTTAGAAATAAATTACGCACTAACAGGAGTAAACAGTTCTTACTTTTTACTGAAAGGTCATCATGATGACCTTCAGATCAGCAATGAAGCCAAAACTGAACAAAAACATGAACATTTAAATTAAGATTAAAACAAACATCTTTATCTGAAAATCTGTTTTACCCAGAATTCCTCTAGTGGCAGTTTTATCTTCACCTGAATAAATCTATTGATCACCTTTTTCTGTCCATTTATCTATCAGTTGACCAATAATTAATCAGCCATTCACTGTATTGATGTTAGAATGACTTTTTTAAATAAAATGAAATAAAGAAGGCAGATTGTTTTAGTGCAGAAACGGCATCAGGCTGCAGCGTTAATGTTTCCTGTCAGTTACATGTTTTATTCTGAAAGGTCCACATTTAGAAGCCACTTCCTGGCCTCTGTGTGTTCAGCTTTAATCAGCAGCTGGATGAATTTATGACATCAGCTGCAGCTGATGATGGTTATCAGTGAATCATGGTTTTGGTTCTGATTCTGCTGAGTCTGAAAAATTCTGCAGGATTTCTCTAAAAATGTAGAAACCAAACCAGATTATTTTAATGTGGAGGACGACAGGCGATCAGCTGGGATCAGACCCTCAGGTGACTTCCTGTTTGTCATGGACGGTGTGTCTGTGTGCCGACGCTGCAGCCGCCAAGAAGGCCCAGTGGCTGGAGAAGGAGGAGAAGGCGCGGCGGCTGAGGGAGAGCCAGCTGGAGGAGCGGCGCAGGAGGCTGGAGGAGCAGCGGCTGAAGGCGGAGAAACGCCGCGCGCTGCTGGAGGAGAAGCAGCGGCAGAAACTGGAGAAGAACAAGGTGGAAGCTAACGGCTCAGCAGGATTCACTCCCCAATAACCACTTAACAATTTCAACAAAATCAGCAACACTCTCAATTCAGAACCTTTTAACAGATAAATTATTGAATCAAAGCACATCAGAACTCGATAAACATGTTTATAGATTTAATCTGTTCAGATTGGAGCAAAGTTCATCTTTCCAGAGTTTCTCTGATCATTCATGGAGCTTTTTTAGACAGTCACATTAGCATTAGCTGCTACATGCTTAGCATTCAGCTGCTATTTTAGGCTAGCATAGCTTTGCTGATAGGCTAACTTCTTTTAGCACAACTTAAACACAACAAAAACTAACAAAAGGTTTAAACTGGCTGGCACATTAAACTGGGCTGCTGGTTTCCATAGGAACGATATGAGGCAGCCATCAAGAGGTCGACGAAGAAGACGTGGGCGGAGATCCGGCAGCAGCGTTGGTCCTGGGCCGGCGGCCTCAACCAGACGTCCCGCAGAGAAAGTGAGTCTCAGAAACCCGACATCCTGCCGGTAACCTGACGCCTGGTGCTGCGGCCGATGCTGGTGCTGCGGCCGATGCTGATGCTGCGGCCGATGCTGATGCTGCGGCCGATGCTGGTGCTGCGGCCGATGCTGGTGCTGCGGCCGATGCTGGTGCTGCGGCCGATGCTGGTGCTGCGGCCGATGCTGATGCTGCGGCCGATGCTGCGGCCGATGCAACGCCAGGAAATGGCGCATCATGAGGGCGGCGTGCCAGGTGCTGGTGGCCCACAGAGTTATTTCTCCTGCTAACTCTTAGAATCCCAGAATGCTTTTGGGCATCAGCTGGTTGAGTTTGAGTCCATCAGAGAGCAGAGAAACTGACCTTCACCAGCTGCTGTCTCTCTGAGACGAATTCAGATTCTGAAATTGGTGAAATCAGGTTTTTATTCCCAACAACCCCAAACTTTCCCAAACTTTCCTCTAACTTCCATCCCAGCTTCCACAGCAGAGTCCAGATTGGCTGAAACATGGCTGGGGGTATCCGGACCCCGGCTGGAGGTGGGCCGGGTGTTCTGGCCCCGCCCCATGTGATCAGCTGTCTGTGTTGCGTTCTCTCCGGTGCAGGCAGATGCTCGGCCTCCACGGTCAACCTGCCCCGACAGGCGGAGCCTGTCATTAACAACAGGCTGTCCAAGTCCTCTGCCACCCTGTGGAACTCCCCCAACAGAAGTAAGGACGAGCCGACGTCAGCATCCACCAGGCCTTCCTCCTCTCCTCCTCCTCATCCCCACCCTGACCCGGTCTCAGTGCTCGCTGTCGTCTGTGGTGGCCTGCCTGCCTGCCTGTGCTTGGTGACTGGTCATTTACCACCTGCTCCCTCCTGCTGTCACGCTCTCGGTCTTGTGTGCATCGTGGGTTTTACTTTGAGTTGGTGGTTTGTCTTGATTTGAGTCCTTTGCATTTTTGATCACCTCTACATCTTTATTGGTGCGTCTGTCTCATGGGTTTATGAGCTCACATCCTGCTTTTCACTGAGCGCTCTGTGCTGATGGTGCTGGGTGGTGTTCAGTGTTAAGAGAGCACGTTGTTTAAGATGGTAGATATCACAATATGTTCCTGTTAGTTGAGTTCAACTAACAGAGCATCATGTTGTTTTATGAAACCTTTCCATTATATTAAAGTTAATAACTCGTTTATTCTCCACTGTTCTCTGAGCAGTGGATCATTTGCTCAAAGCAAGTTTTACCATTTAAAGAGCTGTGAACTTTTTAACTGAATCACTTTGAAAACAACAAGCTGGTTTTTTTCTGAGGTTTTATGGCTCTGGAGTTCTTTAAAGTAATGCTAATTGTTGTGGTATTTTTAACCACAACAAAGTTAAAAATATCTTATATTGGCCATGTTTCTCATTCAGTTACACACTTCATATGAAATGTGATATAATTTGGAATTAAAACAAGAAACTTGGCTTTTGGAGGTTCCTTCTGGCTCTAACTAGAAAAAACATTTTGAGCCAAAAGCCTTTTTTAGCATGCTAAGTGGATGCAATTCAGCCTTTGGCTCAAATAAATGTTTTGAGGTTTAACGAGCTCAGATTAAAGTATTTTAGAGTTAGCAGTTTCACCAAATCACTTTAAAAACAGGAGCCCTGCTTTTGAGTTTTCGTGGCTCTGCTACACACTGGAGTAAATGAAAGCACGCTATCTTTAACATGGCAACATGTTTATTTCTAACCACTGTTGTAACAAAGTTAAACATATTCAAAACAAGAGAGCTGCCTGTTGTAAGTCAGCTGCTAGAAACAACCAGCTTTGAGCTACTGCAGCATGCTAACAGGCTAGCTCTGAAAGCTATGAGCTGAATGTAAGGATAATTCAGTGATTCTTGAGAATAGGGACAAAACAGGTCCTATGGATAAGCACAAAATTTGAATAAAATATACACAAAATATATTTTTTCAAATATCTGACTAAACCAGTCTGGGTCATGTGAGCACAACAATGTATGTTT